TTCTTACTCAAAATCAGCAATTTTCTTTTTTTTAAGTGAAACTGAAGGACAGTAAATATAAATTATTTAAAGGTGTTTTCACATTAGGTACAATTGTTTTCTTACAGTGTACAAATGTATTTCATAAGTGACATATTCAAATTTGTGGTGTTTATAGGATCAGCATCTTTGTAGCCTTGTAGTCAGCAACATTAGGAATATTATTTGCAAGAATAAACAAACAACAATGGCAACTGTGTTCCACATAAACCATGGCAGTAAATACTGCAAGGTTGCCAAGCCAATCCCCATCTTCTTTTGCTTAAGGTTTCAGAGTCAAGTGCTCTATTTATTGATCGAACAGTTTGATCAAAGAATGTCTGACTTGTTATTGAGTCTGGATTGATCCACACATAGACTTTAAGGTTGTTGTCTGTTCTTCTTAAAGTTTTAATCTTCAGGGTGCAGCTACCCTCTGTGGCTGCTCCCTTTACTGAGGTGCGTCCTCTGAACTGTTGTTCCACTGTAGGAGGATATCTGTCATACACCACAGGATAATACATCTTATTGTATTGATACCAGGTGACCTGGACATGAGCTTTTGTCTGACATGGTACCACAGCACAGCTCCCCTCCACTGCAGTCACTGTTTGAGGTACAGTGATGTTCCAGCTTCTCACCTGCTGCAGCACAGAGAAGCCTTTGTGTGGGGGAGGAGGAAGAGGAAGGGAGGGTAAATGGTTAGCAAAGTTGACAACAAATGTTTATTGTTCAGTGAAGTAAGGCTGATGACAAAGAAAAGTATGTGTCATGCAACAGGAAATGAACAACAGTGAAAGCTGCTTTTGAAAGCAGAGTTTACTGTACAGCCATTTGTCATACAAAGTAACATTATGAGAGCTGTCACTCACACTCGTTTCCTTTGGTGAGGTTATGTTTCAGAATAAAAACATCTTTAAAAAACCCTTTTATTATTAGGGATGATGACCAATCGAAAACATTCTGAAGTATTTGTAGCTTTTCTGATATTGATTATATAAACTTCTTGTAGTGCAGCACCTGTGTGTCCAATAGGCTTAAAGTTGTTCGTTTGAACTTTCTGATGTTGTTTCCTAGTTCTAGATCTTTTATGGCTGTATGATTTATTCACAGAATGAGTTAAGATATATATATATATATATATATATATATATATATATACTGTATAATATATATATGTGCACGTGATCTGCAGATAGATGGAAAATGCATAAATATGGTGTAACAACTACCGCTAAGTCTCAGTGAAAAGAAGGCAGCATTTAAAGCCTGGCTCACACTGCAGGAGTTTTAAACTCCTTCCCAATTTTGAATTCGGGCAGCATCAGACAGAGAATCCTAAAAGATATTCTTCTCCATAATCTCAAATATGCTCATACTACAAGATATGAAATCTTTTCACATCACAATCTTCAGGATTTTATTAGGATTATCGTGCCCGACGGAGGAACGCACCACCTCACCTGGCCTCACGTTATCAATGGAGCCGCGGTTAAATTTGTGATTATAATGATTTGCACAGAGAATAAAATACAAAAACATGTTTTTTAAAGTTTTGGTAGAAGAAATTTCTTGGGAAACGCGAAAACATGGATTGCTTAATCTTCAGTGAGAGCTGGAGGTCAGATTGTACCTGTCAGATGCATACAGGTGTCCTGTGCGGGTTCCCTCCTGCCGCTGGTCACTACTACTACACATATTACTGTCCTCCCTCGTCTCTGTAGTCACACACGACTTCTGCCAGACCCTTTCAATATCAAACATGTTTGAAATAAATCGGGAGTCCCCGACGATCACCGAGCAGATTGGGGACGTTAAGATTGGATCTTTATTACAACTCACACTACAAGATAATGTCGGTAGATAATCGGTTCCGATCAGTCTTGAGTCGGGAGCGACCCCGCGATTATCGGAAAGGAGGAATCAGGCCGATTTGAGATCCGATTATCCTGCAGTGTGAGCCAGGCTAAGTCGTACCTGCTGTACAAATAGGAGGACATTACAGACTTTTTTTGCTGACTTTCATACAGAAAGAGCTCGTAAAGTGTTGCTGTTTAATTGGGTATCGTTTCTTTGTTTCAAACACTGCTTCGTCTTTTCTCCGTTCCCTCCACCCCTCTGCTCTCACGCAGGGATCAGCTGGTGGCTGTGTGTGACAACAATCAGTAGCTTCACTAGGTAACGTTTCAGCCTGCTGTAGTCTGTATCTGTAAACGTAGCCAAACTATGTTACAGAGGGGTGTGTTCAGTCCAAAAACTGAAGATGCAGTTCCTCAACACACACGCCTTTTATATTTCAGTCTGATGTTATCAGATTTTAAAAGTACTTTAAAATAAAAGGGGAGTTTAGGTTTATCTAATTGTTTGAAGCTGTAGAAAGGCAGAAAGAAAATGGAAAAAAGTCAAACTCCAAGTCTCTTATGACTTGCTGCTTTGACAGAGTCTTGGTATTGAGCAAAGGACTTTTTTTAGCAAGGACAAAATACTTATGCGATCTCACAACACAAAACTTTAACAGACCCAAGGTTAATAAAAACCGTAAACTCACTGAGGCCACGTCCACGCATACGGATATTTCTAAAAACCTGTTTCCTCCCCTCCGGATGCAAAAAAATCCCGTCCACACCAACAGTTTTTAAAAAATCTCTCAGTCCACATGGCAACGCAAAAACGATGGAAAACGCTCACATAAGCATGCCATAAGCATGCCAGGCCAGTAGGTGGCGATAATAGCTGTGTCTCATTCACATCAAACACCGTAAAAGAACATTGCGAGCATGCGTATTAAGCGTAATTTTGACAGCGGCAATTTGGAAAGATGGCGAAACAAGTCAACAAACACAAAGCCGATTCATTCGTTTGGACGGACGACGAAGTGGAGTTGCTGCTTTGAGTTACACTTGAATAAGTGCCAGGAGAATGTCGACTAACAGCAGAGAACAGATGTAAACAAACTGGTAGCCCGCCATCTTGGTTATGACGCATGCTCAACACGCAAGTCGACGTAATTACGTTACTATTACAAAAAGCTCCGTTTGAACTGTTTTAACTGTTCACACGAATACAAGTAAACGTGATTTTTAAAAAATCTCCACCTTGGAATGCGTTTTTTCAAAACTTTGTTTGCAGTGACCAAAAACTCAGTTTTCAATTGTTTTCATGTGGACGCGCCAAAAGGGAGAGAAAATACTACGTTTTCAAAAAAATCGTATACGTGTGGATGGGGCCTGACTCACTGACTACACCTCTCCAGTCTTTTGCACAGAAAATTGCGAGATTTTTTAGAATTCTTTGTGGAAAAAACAATTGATATAAAAAAGCTAATTTTACCACCCTCTGCACCACAGCCAGACCCTCGGTCAGCTGTGCAATTCTTTAATCGATTTGATCCATTATCTCTCTCCTCTCTGCAAGAAATAATCCTTCATTTGAAGCCCACATCATGGACATCTGCTTGTATTCTCCGTTGCCTTTTTAAAGAAACATTTTAAATTATTAGCATCCTCTCCTTCATCAACAGCTGCCTCTCCACGAGATGCTTCCAGACCGATTGTAAACATGCAGTGGTTTAGCCTCTTTAAAAAAACCTAACCTAGATCCTAACATTTGATCAAATTTTAACCCATTTCGAAACTCCCATTACTATCCAAAATTCTTGAAAGAGTAATCAATAAACAAATGAATCAATTTTTAAGCAATAATCAAATATTTAAAGCACTCCAATCAGGTTTTAGAGAAAAGCACAGCACTGAACAGCTCTTTTAAAAGTTCTTGATGATTTGTTTTTAGCAGTAGACAATGGGGACTATGCAATTTTAATACTTTTAGAGTGGAGATCTCAGTGCCGCAGTTTAGACGGTTGACCACAAAATAATTATCACCAGGCTTAAAGACTGGGTTGGGATCCAGGCTAAATATGCTCAAATCATACTCGGAAAACAGAAGTTTTAAAGTATGCCTAGGATACAGCTTTTCTCCCTCTGCTGCCCTCACCTGTGGGGTTCCTCAGGGCTCAGTTTTATCACCTCTTTTTTGTTTTTCCCTGTTCATGCTGCCACTGGTCTCCCTAATAAGGAAGCACGGCTTATCCTTCCACTGGTTTGCGATGACATGTAAATATATACCCTCTCAAAAGCAATAACCCCCACTCCCTGCAAATACTACTCGAAAGACTGGATGGCACAAAACGTTTTAATACTAAATGAGTAAAAAAATGAGGTAGTTCTGTTTGGCCCCCTGACTCCAACCAGCTTTATCTGTAAAACACTTGGCCCACTGTCATCTTATGTAAAACCTCTTCATGTGTGTATATATATTTTATTGTCTTTCTTTGAAGCTGCTGTTGTTTTTACGCCTTGTAAGTAAAGCACATTGGTTAGTTGAGGCTGTTTTTAAACATGCAAACTTGACTTGCCTTTGAATTATCAAATTGTAGCAATGTGGATAAAGTGATGAAATATGAGAATATGATATGTTGTTAAGATGCAGAAGATGTATTGTGATTCGTCGGCCATTCTGCAAAGCGATCTGTGACAATCTGACCTGTGAAACTTTAAATTCGATGCACCCTTAGTTCACAAAAGAGGCTATAAAATATCCATGCTACTTAGTCAAATAGCATAAAAAACTAAGAGCTCTCTCATATAAGACATGCCTTAGGCATCAGTATATGAGTAAATATGCAATGCACATCAGTTATTTAGGTGCTGGGTCGAAAAAGTCTCTAGATTTCCCTGTCAGGCTCAAAACAATTTTATTTCATGTACTTATAGCAAATAAATGAGTATATATTTGGGAGCCATAGTATTGTGAGTCTTTGTGCATCATAAATATCAATGGTCACATACGTTACTCTTTTATTTTTTATTTTTGCGCAGTAAATGCGTATATTGTAAAGTAACAGCCAAAGATAGAAAGAGGAATCTAGAGTGAAAAAGAAGCGATGACTTGCATCAAACAGATCAGACTCGAGTCAAACCTTTGTTACTGGGACATTTATTTATTTATTTACACAAGCTCCTCATTACTCATTTCCTTAGTAACATCTATTCTAAGTTCACACAAAATTAACAACTGAGACCCCGAATTAACTTTCTGTTTTGTTATTATTGGTTAAAAAAAAGTGGAAATTTAAATAATTTTATTCATGAATAAACAAAACCTGTCACTAGCTTAAAGAACATGAACATTAAGGCACTCTAAATTCTAACTTTTTTAACAAGGCTTTGTACCTGACAGAATGTTAGTTTGCTTTTCTATTTCCTGTTACACTTGTGTTATATGCTATGTGGTAGTTTTGGCAATGGTATAAAGACACACAATTTGAAGATAGCTGAAAGATGTTGCTAAGGGGCTTTCAAAAGCTTCACTTGATTTGGTTGACATATAGAGCATTGTGTTGATTCCCTTCCTGAACCTGAAACGAAGAAACATAGTGACTTCAGTTCTCTTGTGCTGGCTAGCTGCAGTTTGTTGTGTCAACGCTGAAGGCATTTCATCCTCAATGAATTTGCAGCAACTACTGCAGACCCATAACCTGCAGGGTGATGAAGAATGACTAGTTGTCCTTGGTCTCAATGCAAAGAATTAACCAAACTGTGAGCACAAAACAGAGGCACATTTTAAATGAAAATCAAGTTAAAGTCGTCAGTCAAGTTCGGTGTGGAAAAAACATCTTAGATTTTATTTCAAGGCCATATCACCCAGCCCTAGTTTCAACTTTTCTTTTGCTTAATTTTTATTTTATTTATGAAAATAAACAAGAAAAAAGAAAATATACATTCAAGAGAGCAAAACAATATCAAAAGTTCTTAAATCAGCAATAGAAATTCAGCGTAGCGTTAGTTCAGGCAGGGAATGGAGTCACGCTCTACTATCATGCCAGAGTTTGGTAACAGCTGATCTCACACAAGCCTCATCAGCTGATGGCCAGCTGATTTACTTCAAAGCATTCTATTAGCCAAAAGTTCTTATGCCGCTTATTTAAACTGCTCTAGCCTGCCTACTCTTTGCTGCTCCCTCTGCGAGCCACATTTGCAGCCCTCCTCCACCCCAGCTCCTCCTTTTATGCTGCAATGACTTGCATCAATCAATGTCATGCATGTCATTGATGTCTGCTCTGTTTGGCTTTGCTGCTTATCTCTGCCTAAAGCTTTCCTTGTATGCACAGGAAGGGCAGGGATGTGTGCTGCTCCTGCCTTACGCATTCAACTTAAGAACGTGGAAGGTCAGGGAGATCCCAAAACAGAGCCATACCGCCGAATATAAATAATTTGAATGAAGTACATTTTCTTGACAAAGTGGTCCTGACTGCTGAAGCTATGTCTGCATCACACTCTTTTCTCTAAATTTAACCCGAGCATATTCACATTCAGAGTCCTTCCTCACATTTCTAGGCTTCACTTCGTCATATAGATTTACCATCTCTACTGCATTGCTCACAAAATTCAATGCTCCCTCTAAGCGCTTCTCCTCCAGATAGGAGCGACCTGACTGATTTGTGTCCCAGAGCTTCCTCCCTCCTTCTTCCCTTTGCTCCTCCGAGTCACACTAGTGTAAATCACATCTTTGCTTTCCTCGTTTTTCTTCTCTGAACTTGTGCTGGCGTCTTCTGTGTTGTTTCTGCTTGAGCTTGGTAAGTTGGTGCTGATTGGCTCAGAGGTAGTTGCAGGTTGGGTGACACCTGGTTTCTTCAGCTCATAGGTGTTGACATAAATGTCCTCATCTGTTTTGTTGGGTTCCTACAATGCAAAATAAAATGTTGGTTGGTTATTGTGCTTATGTAAGTCACATTAAGTAGAAAACTGCTGGATTCCAAGATAAAGTACCTCGTTTCCTTCTCCACTTGTAGATGTTGGCTCATGGCAACTGTGCTGGCATTACCTGACCCCTGACTCTTAAGCAGGTTGTGTTGAGTCCTCTGAGCCCTGAAAAAAACAGCATCGTATAAACCTACATGAAAATACTGAAAACAGTTTTGTTGTTCCCACTGGTAGTTTAAAGTTGAGAAAAAAATTCAGAAAACTAAATTGAGTTGTTTTAAGATGTCTCACAGCTCTCGAAACACAGGATCACAGCGTCTGCAGGAAAATTTATATCATAATGTTGTGCCAAATGTGGCTAGCATTCACAGTGCTAGCACTACCAGCCTTTGGTCCTCCATGCAGGTTAAAGGGCTATATGTAACTTTTCAAAAATACTGCTTAGTAGTGACACCGCATGGCCGTCAGGCGAACTGCACCAGTAACCTGTTGCTCGCTCTCCCTTGTGAGCATCATCATCGGCCACGAAACACTGGATATTTACCAGCATGATGTTTACAGAGGAGGTAAGTGGTCATACACATGTGAAAGTCTGTGAAGGAGTCTGTGTGTCTGTATTCATTCTCCATCGTACAAACAACAGTCTCGGCTGAGAGTAGTGCTGGGCGATATGGCCTAAATTTGATATCACAATATTTTTTTGCCTAATGTCGATATTCGATATGTCTCGATATTTATCGTATTAAAGTTTATAAATGTAGCCTATAAAACTGAATCTCCATGTATAAAAAAAATATCACCCGACCATTGTAATCACTGGCCCAGGAACTTTACTTTTGATCGAAGAATAACAGTCACCAATTTACTCTTGAACCATTGTGATGCAAAAGTCAATTACAACTTTTATTTAATTAATTGAGCTCTAATTATAGAAAATAAAAATATTTTGTATTTTTCTATATTTATATGCTCCTGTTTATTCACCATGCTGGTAACTGTAAGAGTCGACTTAATCTGATATTAATATGAGGCTGTGATAGAGCTGGAATTCTTCTGATCACCTTTCTCTCCTTCTTTCTTCTCTGTGAGAAACTCTTCCTCCTTAGATCTTTACTTTCGGAGCTCTCTTAAGAGCTAAGATGCTTTGTGAATAACTTTTATCTTTACCAGGATCTAGTCTTTAACTTTAAGGGGAAATTTAGCTGCAGCGTGTTCCAGCTCCTCCAGCTGTCTGCCACTGTGGCTGAAACTTTTCTCCGTTCAGTTTTCGTCATGCCCTGCTGTCACTCAACTTTTCTGGTGATTTTTTTTCTTTGAATGCTGATTTTAGCTCGGCTTTTGTCGGGATATGATGATTTTAAAACCGTTTTACCAAACGTGTGTTTTAGTAGAGAAAACCTGCGCTAAAATCTGTGTGCGAGTGTACAATTTGAGTGTAGCTAGCGCGCTTGCAGAAGTGACAGCATTGAAGCCGCCAGCTGAACGTGCAATCAGCTGGCCCAGACCTGGATAAGACTTGGTCTGCTCATAATCCAAAAAAATACTTAAAATGTTAAAGACCAGAGGAACACCACAGAATCTGTATCTTCACTCAAAAAAAGAAAATAAAAATCCCAGTAGGAGGTTTTTAAATATTTTGCATAGTGGTATTCTGCACGGTTTGGTTTGATTTGCTGTTACCCTACCTGATAACAAAGAGTAGAGCACATACTAGCACCAGGAAGACGACAATGGTGACGATGAAGACTGGCAAAATCACTGAAACAAACAAAGCACAATATGGGATTATGGTTGAAGCTCCACTTCAAACGAGATTATTATTTTAGTAAATTCAGACATAATGTAATAATAATTAATTTTTCACATATTTAAGCTCTCCAGAGGACGTTTTTCTTCACTACTTACCCATTCATA